AAGGTATTCTTTTCAGAATGACCTAAGAAAGGCTCAGTCTTGTTTATGAAATAAAAAGTGTGAGAGATGGAGAGCTTTTGGGGCTGCCTAGCAAGAATCTGACATGGGCCAAGGTCTAGGAAATGGGCTGCTTGGCAGGAATATGACATTGACCATTGACAAGGATGTGGTCTTCAGGCAGGAAACTGACATTAAATGCTTTTTTATATGTGTGACTTTGTGATGGTTTATCATAGCAGTGAAAAGCAACTGATATAGAAGCATCTTATTTTGTGACTGATAAAGCACGAATCAGGTTTTTAATTTTTTTAGAGATGTGGCTGAAGATAGTAGAATAGACAGAAAAAAATTATGTTGTAAATTTATAAAATTGTAAATCATGTGTACATTAAATTTATACATATAAAATATATTAATATGTATAATATGTAGATTATATAAACTGTAATAAATCCCTAAAGATAAGGAGGATGAGTAAGAAAGATAAAGGGTAGAGGACACTAAATTATGTTTATTTACGCACAGTTAGCTGGGTATATCTACAAGCTGGAACAGAATGAAGGCAAGTACAATCTCAACAGCTCTTTGTGGGAGACAGATTGTTGATGGAAAGGCTAAAGTGACAGGTTAGTGTTACTTGAACTGAGGCCAATCCACATCTAAGAAGGAAATTTGTATTTGGTTCATGCTTTGAGATGTATTGGGCCATGATCACTTGCCCTTTCTTAAACCTGTGCCTATGCAGCACTTTGAGGGAAGAAACTCCTAGGAAGGAAGCTACTTACTTCACATTAGATCAAAAGTAAAGAGAAAATTATTGAAGGCACCAGGAGCCTAGAATCTCTTCCAAGTTCTTATCATCATTGAGTTAAATTCCCTCTCTAGGCTCCAACTCATAGTACTTCTACAATCTTTAAACAGCTTAAGACTAAGATATTAGCACATGGGCTATTGAAGGATAGTCCAAACCCACATAACAACAAAAAAGAAAGCAGAGAACCCAACTGAATGGCTTCCTGTAGATTACTACCAGTTGCTATGTGTAGGAAGCGGGTGTGGGGGCCATTCCAAAATGGTGCCTGAGGCTAACACCTGACTTCCTCATATGCCCCTGAAGAAGCCACGCCCACAGGCAACATTGCTCAGGCTCACTGCTATGCATAATCAGGCCATCTGCTACATAGGGCAATGTCAGATCTTGCCATACCCACTGTCCTATCACATGCACTGATGTGGCAGGCTCTGATTGGAGAAGGCAGAGGGATTTAAGGGCAGTGGAGGAGAGGCTCAGGGGCTTTTTTGAAGAATGTAAGGGTTCCTGAATAAACTGTGTTGGGAAGAAGAACTCCGTGTGTCGCCGTTTCTTTCCGCGGTTTGGAGTGGACAGCGACAAGTGGTGGCCCGTCCGGGGACTTCAGAATTCATCGCAGTCAGGGAAGCTAGCTGGAAAGTTCCCAGGTAAGTGGGACAAGAGAACGTTCCCAGGTAAGTGGGACAAGGGAAAGTTCTCGGTTCAGAGACTATAAGGTTCCCAGCGTTGGGACAAGTCACATCAAGGAGCTAGAAAAGGGTAGCAATACACTAGAGCAGTTAAAAGAAGAGTGATCTCTAAAGTCTGAAAATGGAGATAGTTCTGAAGAGGAAAGTGAGGAGTATAAGAGTGAAAGAGTGAGGAGAATAGAGGAGAGTGAGGAGAATAAAGAAGAGACTTGAAGAGAATCCACCGGACTCTGTCTTGTATCTATCTTCTGCATCTCTCACCCCTTTTTTCTTCCCCTAACTCTGTCCCCAGTTTCTCTTTCTTGCTAAACCCTGACCTGCAGACTGGAGCAGCAGAACTGGCCCCGGCCTTTACAAAGTAACAGAACCTGAGGGCCGTTACAAAAGAAACAGCCGTTACAAAGTGGCGCCCAGAAGCTTGGAAGGAGCTTAGAGCTCAATGTTTCCAAATGTTTCTTAAGGGACCAGGAAAAGTGGTGATGGTTGCTATTTGCATTAATGGCTTAAACTGTTTCTTTAAATTTCCTGCCTGGATTCATATGGGTTCAGCAAGTATGTTCTCAGAAGCTATACACTCATTATCTGATACTTATAACCAGGGTTTGCTAGCTCTAGACATCAGCAAGTCTGTTCAGACACCAGATTCTTCTCACCTGTATGGCTTTTCAAATATGCGCTATATTTCTTCATTGATTAGTGGTATTGGTATTTTCATGATGGGTGCAGGACTCTCTTGGTATCACGGAGTCATGGGATTGCTTCATCCTAAACCAATGGAATCCCTTCTATGGGCATATTGTATTTTAGCAGGATCTTTGGTGTTTGAAGGAGTGACACTTCTTGTTGTCATAAATGAACTTTGCAGGATTGCCCAGGCCAAGGGCACATCATTTTACAAGTATGTCATAGAAAGTCGTGATCCGAGTACACTCCTGGAGAGCGACCCATCAGTAAGAGCAATCCATAATGTCAAAGCCACAGACCTGAGATTACACAAAGTCAGATTTAAGGGAGAAGTTGATTTAGATGAATGAGTTGTTACAAGACCATATTTGGAAAAGCAAGATTTTGACCAAATGATGCAGGAAATTCAAGAAGTGAAAACTCCTGAACAATTAGAAGCCTTTACACTTAAACATGGAGAAAACATTATTGATACTCTAGTATATGAAGTAGACAGGCTTGAGAAAGAGTTAAAGAAATGAAATCCTGAAGTTCAGCACATAGATCTTAAGATCCTATAGACAAGATGAGTGAGTCACTTGGGCTGTGAAGAATGCTTTTACCTTTTCTCCATTTATTGCAACCTAAAGTTATTAAGCCCAGGACAAGATGTTTCCTTTTTACCCACGCTGGTATGCATGTGGCCCCCCTTTGTGTTTTTTGTATATAATGGTAGTTATAATGGTAGTTTTTTTGAGTTGTGATAATAGTACTTGCTTTTATGCTGTATGTTGGAATGTTTCTATATTTTCCTTTGCTATGATTGCCTGAATGCCTCATTATGTTCCTTGGCCTGTGGAAGCTCCTTCAGCTATGACGTTATTTGGGCCTAGGAGGGATTTTGACATAGAGATGGCCCAATTAGGTTGCCAATGGAAATATTCTAGCTTGTGTGTTACTTCTATTTCATATCAAAATATAAGTCATGCTGCTAATCTTTCTAAGAAAATTTCCGAGTGTCTTTCAGGAAATTGGTCTGTGGAATTGTATAAGAAGATGAGAGAATTTCTCAAGTTGACTGTTCATATTAATTCAATTACAGTGGATGTCTCCCTGGCCTCCGGACTGACTGAATGGATACATCAAGCAATGTCCCACCTTAAAGAATGGGCGGGTTTGGGGTTTTAGCCTTGTGCCTATTACTGATCAATGGCTTTGCCTGTTGGTGTATGTGCAAAAGGAGAAAGCAACACAGCAGAGAACGGGCCTTGATAGTGCAGACATTTGCAGCCATGGAGATGGGACAATCTCCTCAAGTGTGGCTCGGCATGCTAGAGAAGTAGTCAGAGACGGGTAAGAATCCTTGGATGTGTTACCAACCTAAGACAGGGATCAAACTAGAGCTGTTTGACTCCCGATGACTGGTAAGGAGCATTGTCGCAAGGGGCAACCTAAGACAGGCATTCTCTCTGCCAAAATTAAATAAAAGGGGGAAGCGGTTTGTGGTGGCCATTCCAAAATGGTGCCTGAGGCTAACACCTGACTTACTCATATGCCCCTGAAGAAGCCACGCCCACAGACAATATTGCACAGGCTCACTGCTATGCATAGTCAGGCCACCTGCTACGTAATGCAACATCAGATCTTGCCATACCTACTGTCTTATCACATGCCAACGTGGCAGGCTCTGATTGGAGAAGGCAGAGGGATTTATGGGCAGTGGAGGAGAGGCTCGGGGGCTTTTTTGAAGAATGTAAGGGTTCCTGAATAAACTGTGTTGGGAAGAAGAACTCCGTGTCCCTCATTCTCTGTCTGCTGGTCGGATCGGGGAGCGACATCTATCCTCTCATAAACACCATTAAAAAATCGGGAGTGGCAATTCGGTCCAAAAGAAACCGCAAGGCTCTGACAGTCTGCCTGAGTCCACAGAAGTGGCAAGAAGCTGCCAGTATGTCACAAGAAGTTCATTAGTGCATTTCTTTCTATGAAGTCAGCAAAGAAGGCAAGGGGAACCAATGCCACAATGTTGTGAGTGAAGACCAGCATCAGTAACGCCCAAGGAAGATGAGCAAAGAGCAGCAAGGTGAACCAATACCACAAACCATTATTCACCATCTGGTTACATTTACAGATTTTCCAAACATTTCATGTCCTTTCAAGTGTCCACTCTAGCAAAGCATCATGTGCCCCTTTCCAAGCAGCTTCTGGAAAAACATCATTTATCTGTTCTCTGGAAAACTACCTCCCATGTGACTGCTTCAGCAAAATCATTCTTTTACATGCCTGTTCAGCAAAACATGCTCTCCTAAGACAGTTTAAAGAAAAACATCACAATTGAGTCTCCAAAGAAACCAAAAATTTCCATTTCAATCATCTGTCAAAAACTTCTGTCACCCGAGGGATTATTTGCTAAAGAACTTAATTCAGATGATGCCAAAGATATTTTGAATCAGAATGTCTAGTGTAGGAATGTGCTTTCCATACATGTGTAATTTTGAGTATTCATATGCATATGTGTGTGAGAGTTTGATTAAAAATTATTCCCCATGCCTAATATATTCAGACATTTGCTCTCCAGTTATGGGCACTGTGCTGGAAATTTTAGGTGGTAGAGTCTTCCTGGAGGAAGAATTTAATTGGGTGGGAAATTTGAAGTTTTATAGTCTTGCCCAGTTCTTTTTCACTATGTTTCTGCTTCCAGTTATGGATGAAAGGCGATCAGATACTCTCCTGCTCTTATCACCTTGTCTTCTGTAGATACTGACATGTCTTTCCAAGCAGGGTGGACCCTATATGTATAAAACTGCAAGCCAAAATAAATAACTTTGTTCTCTGAGTTACTTTTTTTGGCAGGGTATTTTATTATAGCAACAGATAAGTATTTTAATAGGCTATTTTAATGGAAACAAAATAGTTTAACATGTGACAATAAAAAAGTTCAACTTTTACCATCCACTATACTAAATCTGATCTCACTAGAAAATACAATATCCAAAGATATTTCCTCCCATTCACTCTATATTAATTTCATATATATATATATATATATATATATATATATATATATATACATATATAATGTATTTCTATATATCTCACATCCAAAACAAAAACAGTTGTGATGTTGAATGCTGATATCCTCTAACACCCACTATCTGCCACACAATTATCTCAGAGAACTGATAAGTGGAGTGAAGGCTTATTTATTGAGTAGTCTTAGCTTTCTTCAGTCAACATGGGTTTTCCAATTTATTTGCATAGCTGTTAAAATGCATTCTAATGTATGTTTTCTGATAATTATAGCTTGTAATTTCCTAAATTGTTCTGTTGTATTCTCAATGTTTTGTACAGTATGCGCAAAGAAGATGTATGTGTCATTAAACACAATTTTAAATTAATAATTATGCAGAATATAAGACAAAAAATGGATACCAGAAGATGCCACATCATGAAGCCATCCATCATAGAAACTTCAAGCATGAATAGCACCATGGAAATTTTGATTTTTGAAGATGTTATTTTAAAGAAACCAATTTTTCATGTTTCTTTTCCCTTTTGTCCACCCTAGCCTCCTTCTTATTCTATTGAGTAATAAATGCTTAAGTGAATATAAGTTGTTCTATTGTAAAGTAACCAACTTTCATTCAGTAATTTTTTACAGATGATATATATTCCAATCTAGCTTCAAATGCACAGCTATACTCTAACAAGGATGCTCTTGTTTCTTTTGATTTGTAGCTTGTTTTGTTGTAAATGCATAGAATTTTTGATTATCCATCATATGTAAAGTGTGAAAATCTTCAGTGAAAGGACCAGGTTGGTGTTTGAGAACACAGCAACAGATGTGTCTTTCTCTTTCTTTAAAGAGGTGTTTCACTGTTTTGTTCATCAGAAGGTACACAATAGTATCCATTTTTATTTCCAGATCCTGGATTGTTTTCATCTGTGACTTTTCTTCCATTTTGCAATATATTGTTATCATTTGTTTTGGATTTTTTCTTCATAACATAAATTAATACAACATATAAAAAAAGTGCTGGAGTTTTTAAAGATGTGTTTAAGCCCAAGTAGATAATTCTAGAAAAAAGGAGGGACAAATATTATTTTATATTTTGTAGTACAGCTTTTAGCACATATCTTGAGTATACAAACCTAAAAGGTTTTTTTAAGTGAACTTATATTTTAAAAATATCAAACATTATGCATTGGACCATAAAGTGTTTGAAATTATTTCTCAAGAACTGGCAACACACAGTGATTGAATTCTGGCTAGCTTTTTAGCATTCTAATGGAGAAAGGAATACTTAGATCGTTTCCCCCAAGTCATCCAATTACATGCAATAAAAGAAGAAAGCACAAACAAGTACATAAGGTGTTCACAGTCCATATACCTAGGTCCATTAATACTGAGCCTCAAACGTATTACTATTGAAAGCCGACCTCCCCTTGTGCTTTATAACAAGGTGATTAGTTGTAGTAGTTCCTCTGCCATTATATTTACATCTAATTTTCATGGGAAAAAAAACAAAACAGAAGTCACACTAAAAGGAAATAAAAACAAAATTCATGCTTTGAAGATAATGAAGAGTCTTCAAACCCAGTCATGGATATGTCAGGGTATTAAGATTATCAGAATCTGGACATGACATTAACAAATACCCTACTGTCCACAGTAATTCTAACTCCACCAAGGCAACACCACCACCATCATTATTACCACCACCATTACCATTACCATCACCAACAACAACAACAACAGGCAAAAAAGGACCATGACATCAACAAGACTGTTACATAACAACCAAGACAACAATACCAGCATGACACCAACACCAGTGGTAAGGAATTGTAACAACAACTCTCATTTGTGGTTGGTGGTGAAAATGGTTGGGAAGACAACTAACTGTAGCATACAACCTAGAATAAAAACAGATAGACTGTCCTCCCACCTGTACCATTTTCCATCATTCTTCTGCAATGGAAGCCTCTGTGGTTCTCCCTCCTTGTCATGATGACTTGAATTTTATTCTTTGTGGGAGCTAGATAGATCTAGAAAACTTCCTTGTGACTGCATCATTAGCTCCAGTTTCTTCTTCTATTTTGTATTTTCCCTTTGAGTGTTGCTTAAAATAATTTTTGTTATAGAGAGATTTAAAAGTACTCTAATATTTTCTGTTATAGTTTTAAGGGCTTGAGTCATGATCCAAAGATATTTGGACTTCCCAAAGAGTTTTTTAAAAATTTACTTGGAAGCCAGACCATGGTGGTGCTTGCCTTTAACCCCAGCACTTGAGAGGCAGAGGCAGGTGGATTTCTGTGAGGTCAAAGTCAGCCTGGTTTACAGAGACAGCCGCAGGACAGCCAAGTGTACACAGAGAAAGCCTGTCTCAAAAACCACCAAAAGATAATCTATCATCAATATTATATGATTTTTAATTAATCAATATTTAAATTTACAACAAAGTGTCTTCTAAATAATATCACTTCCATGTGTTATTTCAAATTATCATTCATTTGTCTTCTGTCCTCATGAACAGAACACGAAGTTTCCTCCTTTTACTACATTATAACCAGACACTCAGTTGGCCATCATGTCCTGCTTCAGAAACCAGAGACAATAATATTTTAGAATTTGTAGAGATTTTATAGAAAAAATTATAATTGAGCAAAAAGTCTATCTCTTTTGGCCTTAGTTGTTTGACATTGGACAATTTATCATCCTTGAGTCTTCATGTTTTTGCATTCAATGTAAAATTATACACATAAATTTACTTTTTTTTCTTCTAGTCTTAAAATGAGATTATCTGATACATTTCTGAGTATAAAATAAGGATTCATTAAAGCCACATTAATTATCAATTTATTGTTTTGTTGAAAATAATCTATATGGGGCCAAAGAGATTGCTGACAGATCAAGAACACTGACTACTCTTGCAGAGAACCTGGGTTCTGACCTCAGCACTCACATAGTGACTCTTACCCATGTGTAAATCATGTTCTAGAGAATCGAATTTCATGTGATCTCTATGGGAACTACACACATATGGAGCACACACATACATGTAGATAAATGCACTCACATACATTTAAAAATTATAAAAAGATAAAATCAATTAATGAAGTACATTTATAATAACTTACCCAAATAGTCTGGAGTTATATAGCCTACACGCCCCATGTGCTCCACAGCTGGTAACAGACCACTTAATACACGTTCTGTCAATCAATGCTCCATAATAGATTGGAGCTAGAATTCCTCCTACAACATGAGAAGTAAAGCATTTGAAATAAACCTATGTGTTATATCATATTGATACACAGTGAAGAATGAGAATCTGAAAACTTTCTAGGACAATGCTTTGGTTTCTGTTTGAATATATGTAAGAGTTATATCAATAGATTTTTTCCAAGGTTGTACCATCTATGGATGTGTAATGTCATACACATCTTCTGTCTATCTCTATCCCTTGCAGACATAATGAACATGGAATTCTACATGCTTGTAAGCAATGTTCTTATAATAAAAACTAGTTAAAATCTATTTAGTGACATGTCCATGTGCCAGGATTTTTTTTTTAATTCACCAGAAGGTTTTGGAATAATTGGAGTAGATTTGTAGCTTTGGGATAAGTGAACAAAAGGACTTATCACAATCCCATACAGGCAGAAGTTTGTTCAAGTATTTAAGCCAACTAAAAACGGGCTAGAGAGATGAATCAATGGTTTATAGTGCTTGCTGCTCTTGAAAGCACCAGAGTGTGGGTCATAGCATCTATATCAAGAAGTTCACTGCCTGTAATTTCAGTTCTGTGGAATCTGATTCTCTCTTCTGGGAATGTGTACAGAAAATCATGCATGCACACTTACACATAAATAAAAGTTACTATCAAAATAAGTACAATTAAAATGTTAAAAGGTTTTAAAAAAAGGAAATCTAAAAGTGGAACTTTTACACCAGAACTCTCTTCCCAGACAAGCTGTGGTCCATCCTCACCTTCACCATGGAATGGTGGCTGCTGGGTTCAGAATAGCTCCTCTTTTTGGTGTCATCTGACTCCATGACTCACCATTTTCTTTCCACTGATTTTGTACTTGTATAAATATCTTTTGAAGTGTTCTAAGCAGTTCAGCTTTAGGGCCTTGTAAACATTGTTTTTGTGTTCTGATTGCATGGTCTTAGTTGTCAGCCTACCCTTCAGCAGTGGGTCTTTTGAATAGTGTGTAAAAGTACAATGCAGGACTTCTCTAGAGTTCATGAATAGTGTAGAGAAGCAACTGTTTCTTGGTTCTGTTTCAATAAATTCTGAGATTGACTTGATTCTTAAACTGACAAAAGATTGGAGGATTATGTTAGTAGAGGTCTCATTCAGGAGCAATTTGGTTCAAATTCTGACTTATTTTGATGAACAAATTTCACCTTTAAAATTTTACTGAGTTTATTTTTTAAAAATTAGTGTTTTCTTTTCTACATATCTGTTTTAACTAAATTTTATATGTGTGTTTGTCCCTGGTTGTGAGTGCAGAGAGTATCAATCCACTGGGATTCAAGAGCAGGTAGTTTCAAGCCATTTGAGATAATGTTAGGAATGGAACCTTGAACCTTATAAGACCATTATATGCTGTCAGTCATAGAGCTACCACTCCAGCCTCCTAATCCCATTGTCTGAGAGCAAGTAGTTGACAATGGACAGATAATGGAGGCCAATGTATCTGTAAAGGACTAATCTGAGGAAAAGAGTTAGAATATTCATATTTCAAAAAATTGTGGCCATCACTTAAGAAATGAAAAATATATATCAACAGTATACATTTTCTGTGTGATGTTACTGGTATGACAAAAGAAATTAAATATTTTAGGCAAGATACTCAGCCTTGGTGATTACTAGGATTTACTGTTTCAGTAAATTATTTTCCAAGTAACTTCCTCAGTAATACACTGAGAGATATTTCACAGTGTTCAGTCACATCGTGTTGAAGACAGTTGCTTTGAATTAGAAGTTTGGTGCGTAGTATATGTTTCCCCTATAGAAACATTTAGGTTTCATGAGGCCATGGATCTTAACTATGATGGCAAATTCCTTATCTTTATTATTTTATGATGCTAGATGAATTTCTTTTATTCTTTGAGTTTCTCCTTTGACAATCAGGAAGCTTACTAAGTACAGTGTACATCAGTTTTGGAAGCAGGCAGATATGTGGAGTTTCATTTGGGTTTTGGAGGTAGAGGGCTTCTGGTATATACAGAACCTTCCATCCTAGAGATAAACAGTCCAGAGACGCCCTCCTTCTCCTACTCCTCTTCTTCTCTTCATGCTCCTCACCTCTTCTCTCATTCCTATAATTTTTCTTTTTCCCTTTGAATATCCAAGGATCTGTCTTCTATACACATAATGAACAATTTCTTCCCCATTGTTGTCAGTGAAGGCTATGTTTCTTAGCTTGTAAAGATCCCTAGGATAGACCTCCAACTCCCTTGCTGATCTTTAAAATCTTTTCATCAGTGCTTGCCTCTGATTAGCTTTCTGCCCTATCCCTAGGTAAGTAATATTACTTTTTTCTATTTCTAAACATATAAGCTTTTAATGTATATAAATCCTACAGATGTTATGTGAGCAGTTGTGAAAGAAGCAACAGACATTTAGGAGTAAATGGTTCTAAGGGAGGGAGATACGTCCCTTAATCTCTATCAGTTATGTCCTCTGAATATTTAGAAACTTGAGACTTAGGAACCTAATCTTGACATAAAATCACAACTTCTTGAGTTTTCTTTTAATTAAAATGTTATCTTCATACAAGGTGATAGATTCTAGGCATGAGTTCTCGTTCCCTTTCACATGCTTAATTGCTGATAAAGGCTCTGGAGCCTCCAGCACCAAACAGTAGGAAACCAGCCTGTCAGCCTCTGGTTTTGTTCTGGACAGTATCAAACTGGCCAAATTCCCAACATTCTCAACACTCAAGAGGCATTATCTAGAAATGCTATGTATGGAGATGGACCTTTGCTCTGCCAGACTGAAAGAATCACCTCTCATTGCAATGAAAAGGAACAGCTGATCTTTGTGACATAACTTATATAACAAACAAGACAATTCCTATGACTTGCCTCAATGTTGCAGTTAACTATCAAATTCTCTTTCATGTCACTGTGTCTTGTATTTCCTAATCCTTTCATTTGCTACAAGTAGAAATAATTCTTAAAACTTTAAACTTTCCTTAGAATCAAAACATATTCATGTTCTGCTTTTAAACTTGGCATAAATATTTGTTTCCTGAATTTGATTTGTTTACCATACCTAGTGTTCGTATAACCAGTGAATGGAAACCCATTGCAAGTGATTTCAATTCAGGTTGGACACACCTGCAATAAGATAAAAGCAAAAAATAACACTTTAACACGTAAATGTGTTCAAAATAGTAAGTTAAGTTTAAACTTAAAATGTTTGCTGATGTTATTTTTCTTCATGGTTGGGAGAAAACCATCATGGGAATAACCAACATGACCAACATGTTACAAAGGTATCATTCACAGCTTGAGAAGAGACAAGATGCTGAATAATAAGGATTCACCATGTATGATTTCAAGAGAATCCAGAAAGTTGAAACTATTTAGCCCAGGCTGGACCTGAACTTCAAGCAATGCTGAGCCTACAGATGTGAGTTACCAAGCTTGGCTACATTTTGTGTGTTATTCAGTAAATAAGCTGTCTACGTGCTTTACGATGTCAACAAAGACATTGGTCTCATGTGGCTCATTCTACCAGGGTCATGACAAAAGACCACATGCTTCTATCTAGGTATAGGTCTCAACATACATCCTGCTTCCTTACAGCTATGACTGTTGTTAACCGAGAAGTCTAATAACTTTGAAGATAAAGTTTCACTGTAACCAGAAAAGTCAAGAAATTTATGCATTCTGGACTTCCATGTATGTAACTGTTATGTTAAAGTTAGAGAACATGTTATCAACTTGGTTAGTAATGCACTCATTCAGGGCTGGAGAACTGGCATGGCACTAAGACTCCTTGTTTCTGTGAATAACCACCTTTCAGTTCCCAGCACCCACACTGGACAGCACCCAACCTCTAGTAACTTTAACTAAGGAGATGAAACCCTCTATTCTGGCCTCTTCAGTTACATGGGCTCACCCAGGCATACTCATACATACAAACGTACACATACAGAAACAAAACATAACTTAAATCTTCCAAAAAGATATTTGTAAAAATAAACACATTCTTCTATCTAAAAAGAATTATAAAACGTATTTATGGAATATGTTTATGGAATAAATATGGAATTATTTTGATCTTTCTGAAATTTATTGAGCTGGAACTACCCTTCTATAAAAATCTCATCCATATTGATGAGAATGAAATTATGTGAAAAAAATGGGTGGATGGAATATTACTCCTGCTTTAATACTTTTCCCAAAATACTAAAATGATGGTATATTTTATATCACCTAAAACTACTGGATGTTTATTTGTTCAGAGAATTAAGTAGATATTGTCATGCAGCAAATTGGAAGAAACCACTTCACCTCTGCTGACAAGAGCTCATGCTTTGTGAGGATCCATATGTACTAGCACTTAGAACTTCAGTTTTCTTGACATGTGACTGATCTTTATTCCTTGCAGGAAAGATACCTGTTACTAGGGACTTTAAACCATGCTCCAGAATGCTGGTTGCTCCCACTCAACCTCAGGGATTATGAAGACTAAGACAGGAAGATCACTTGAGTGGTATAGTGTACAACCAGTCTGGGGAACATAGTGAAACCTGTCTCAAAAATAAATGAAAAAAAAATAGATAAATGAAGTTTTCAAGGGACCTTATACAATTAAACAGAGAATAAGTAAACAATGTATAATGAAAATTTAAAACATTAAAAATTTAAAAAATTAAAACATTATGGGAGGGCTAGGAGACAGCAAATGCAGAATGGTTGGTGAAGGATTCTGTTAGCTCAGCAAGGGGCAGAAGGCTGTGTTTATAATTCTAGAAAATAGGTCTTTTGTTTTCCATTTTGTTTCCTTCATTTTGTAAGTAAGATGAAGGAAATCAGCAGGAAGTAGAACTTGACTTGGTCACTGAAATCTTTATCAAACCTCAGACTTATCAAGCGGGATTTGGAGAAGGAAGAGATGATATTTTTTTCACTGCTTGAGTCCTTGTACCTCAGTGATGCTGTTGTTTATAGGGTAGATTTGGGTTTTGTTCTAGAAACACTACATGTAACTGAGTTTTGTAATCCATGTGCATTTTCATCCCAGGAGAGTGCTTAGCTTACATGGGAATTGGGAGGGCTTGTTGACAGGACTAATGCTTGCTTCAAAGTGGGCTGGACACCTCCGACAACTTTTAGGAAGGAAAGCTGTGGCAGAATGCTGTGCATAGAAAGCCACACACATATGTAGACATAGACAGCCCCATTCATAGTCATGGACACTCACCCCTAGCCACAGCCTTGTACTCTAGCTGCTTGCCCACTCACCAGTGTGCTTACTTGAGTGTGCATTGGTGAATGCATTATAGTATTGTGCACTTATCAGTAAGTAAAATTCCTACCTCACTTCTGAGATGGAGTACTTCAATTTAGTGTACATGCTACGGAATAAATAAATAAATAAATAAATAATTCCAAGAAGCTAGACTTGTTTCCTAACTTATTTAATTTCTTACAAATATCTGCTTGATGTAATAAATTAAATCTAAACTAATCCTCCATTATATTCTTTCATGAAAATGGGTCCTACATTGTTTGAAGGGATAACTTTTAACTGACACCTGTGAACCCCAATAAGACATGTAGCTCAGTCATGTGATGCTAGGCTTATTATCTGTGAAAGATGAAGTTCTCTTTATTTTCTGGTTGATCCACATCACTGGAATTTAAATTTTAAAAGTTCTGAAACCTTTCTTGGCCATTTGAGATTAATATTTTGTTCATCTTAAGTCTATCAATTCTGAGGTGATTTAGTTCATCTTAGTGAATCTTTCATAAATGAGAAATGCTATCCTTATAAATAGACAGCATTAATTATTTAATGGAACTAGCTGACTGTGGGAAACACCTTAATGTAATATTTGATGAGAATAGAATTTAAACAAGTGTAGATGCTAATTAAATATCTATCCTCATTTAAATGACAATTAAAACCTTTTTTTTCTCTTGGCCTTTGGGGACTTTTAATCAATATGGAGTTCAAAAGTATAAAGAGATATTAGCCCAGGTTATCATACTCACATAAATACATCTTTGAAAGTCAACATTCAAATGTTACATATTTTTAGTTTTAAATCTGACTGTGGGTGAATTAGTCAAATGGAGATGCTAGGACCTGTGTGCTTCCCTGGCCACCCATTGGACTTGTCCCACCATCTTCCCAGCACTCCCAGTCAATCAACTATGTCTCCTTTCAAAACACTTTAGCTTTTGGTGGTTTTAGGGTTTAATGCAATAGACAATAGAAGTCAGTAAATATATTCAGCATTGAATATACATGACTAATAAAGATATCTTAACAATTTATACTCAGGATGGGGAGAAGTCATCTGTGTTCCCATTTGTGATCTGAGAGATGACCAGCAGATCCTTGAAAGTTCAAAGGTGGATGACCTGCCTTCCACAGTGGAGGTAGAAGGAGATTGAAGACTGATTCCAGAGATAATTATCTGACTTCTATATGGTCATACACTTATGATTCTCACAGAGAAATGCACATACATGTACATAGAAAAAAAGTATACTCACTTCATCAGAATCAACATAAAAGAAGTGCTTCCCATTGCAGTGAAAAAAGACAAAATTACTTGAAAAATTATATAAAAGTGGTACTTGGTTTTGCATTTGTCTCTTGGGCATTCACCCAAATGTGCTGAGTGGTTTCCATGCAAGAAACCAGAGTCGTTGATACAACTGCAGTCATAAAATTCCTAAAAGACAGTTTTTGAAATGTTATAGAATGTGTTTGCAAAACATGAAAGTGATATAAATATATTCCATTATATTTTTAAACGGCTCTTCCATTCTAGCAAAAGTGTTTACTGTTTTTAAAACTTCTAATAGCATCAATTTTTAATTATTGAAATATAAAACTTTTGTCTGTATTTATTTCTGGCCAAGAAAATTAAATTTGCAAATTCCTAATTCATTTCAATTTCACTATTATAAAATAATTGAATAAATTACTCTCTGAAAGTATTCATAGGTTCTTCACTCAACAAGTTCTTTTTCATAATTGTCTTCTAACATTTTCTTTCTATATTAGTTTTGCATCCTTATTTACTTAAAAATTCCTGCCTGGCTCAGCCACATTCCTTTAAGAAAACTAGTCCAGGAAATGAAAGCATCTGTCAGTTTGACAGCAAGCAACATCTGAAATGAGAACCAGCTATATAAATGAGTTGAGTCACACAACGTGTAGTGGAAAGAATGATCATGCCAAGTGTGGTAGTGCACACCTTTAATTCCAGTACTTAAGAAGATGAGGCAGAAGGATCCTGAGTTCACAGACAGACCACTTATAGAGATCCTGTCTCAAAAGCATAAAACAATAACTGTTTGTATACCCAATGTTTGGATTAGGAAAAAGTAAACAATGATATTTCCCAGCTATGTGAAATATTGAATAGATTAGTGGTATATGCAACACCATAAGTAATTTCTATGCTTTGGAGTCAAGTGACTAAGGGTTACTCACAGGTCACAAGGAAAAGTGTGTTCTCAATCAAAGAGAAGAAATCATGGCATGGCGTATTATAGTCATATGTGAAAAAGATGCTAGATTATCGGAATAAAGAGCTAGCTTTGGGGAGGTCGGGAACTGACATTCGAAAATTGAACAGTCAGAAAAGCATGAAGTCAGGACTGTTCCTTGAAGAGCCAAATGTTCAGAGTTAAAATCATAAAAGTCAATAAAGATTGTAAGTCTTGTCTATATGATGATTTAAGATTTATATTTATATAGGTATAATGCAATTCCCATCAAAATTACAACTCAATTCTTCACAGACATAGATAGAGAGAGTAATTCTCAGTTTTATCTGGAATAACAAAAAGCCCAGGATGACAAAAACCATTCTCAACCAAAAAACAACTTCTCGAAGAAATCACCATCCCTAATCTCAAGCTCTACTACAGAGCATTAGTGATAAAACCCCAAACTGCTTGGTATTGGTACAGAGACGGCAAGTAAACCAATGAAATAGAATTGAAGACCCAAAAATGAACCCACACACCTTTGGTCACTTGATCTTTGACAAAGGAGCCAAAACCATCCAGTGGAAAAAAGATAGCATTTTCAACAAATGGTGCTGGTTCAACTGGAGGTGAGCATATAGAAGAATGCAAATTGACCATTCTTATCTCCTTGTACAAAGCTCAAGAATAAGTGTATCAAGGGCTTCCACATAAAACCAGATACACTGAATTTAATAAGGGAAAGAGGAAAAGAACCTCAGACACATTGGTACATGGGAAAGTTTCCTGAACAGAACACCAATGACTTATGTTCTAAAGTCAACAATTGACAAATGTGACCTAATAAAATTGCAAAGCTTCTGTAATTCAAAGAACACTGTCAATAGGATAAAATAGCAACTCACAGATTGGGAAAAGATCTTTACCAATCCTACATCCAAGAAAGTGCTAAAATCCAAAACATACAAAGAACTCAAGGAGGTAGAATCCAGAGAACCAAATAACCCTATTAAAAATGGGGTCTGAGCTAAACAGAGAATTCTCAACTGAGGAATCTCAAATGGCTGAGAAGCACTTAAAGAAATGTTCAACATCCTTAGTCATCAAGGAAATGCAAATCAAAACAACACTGAGGTTCCACCTCACACCAGTCAGAATGGCCAAGGTAAAAAACTCAGGTGACAGCACATGCTGTCAAAGATGTGGAAAAAGAGGAATACTCCTCCATTTCTGATGGGATTGCAAGCTGGTATAGCCACTCTGAAAATCAGTCTGGTTGTTCCTTAGAAAATTGGAACAAGTTCTACCTGAGCACCCATCTGTACCACTCCTGGGCATATGCCCAAAAGATGCTCCATCATATAACAAGGACACATGCTCCACTGTGTTTATAACAGCCTTGTTTGTAATAGCCAGAAGCTGGAAAGAACCCAGATGTCCCTCAACAGAGGAATGGATACAGAAAATATGATACAATTACACAGTGGAGTACTACTCAGCTATTAACAGACTTGAAAATATCATCCTGAGTGAGGTAACCCAGTGACAAACCACACACATTGTATGTACTTACTGATTAGTGGATACTAGCCAAAAAGAAGCACAGAATACTCAAGATACAACTCACAGACCATATGAAATCGAAGAAGAAAGAAGACCACAACAAAGTGTGGGTGTTATAGATTGACTAAGAAAGGAGAAGAAAATGATCTTGTGAGGTAGAAGGAGGGATCTGAGGGAGATGAGAGGAGGAGGGAAAGGGGAGGCAGTTCAGATATGATAGGAGATTGGGGAGATGTATGGAGAGTCAGGAATTTGAAATAGTGGGTAACAGTGAGAAATGGGAACTTAGAGTAGCTACTAGAAAGTTCCAGATGCCAAGGATCCAAGAAGTTTCTAGAATGGGGGACATTAGTCGAAATACCCAGCAAGGAGGAGACAGAACCTGTAGAGACCATATTCAGCAGATAGACATGGACCCTGGTTGAGGCATGGGGACATCTACACAACTAAAAAATAGTAATCCAGAATTCTATCAAAAGGATGTGCAGGGATAAATAGTGGAGCAGAGACTAAAAGAAAGAGCATTCAGAGACTGCCCCACCTAGGAATCCATCCCATCTGAAGATACCAAACTCAGACACTACTGCTGATGTCAAGAAGTGCTTGCTGACAGGACCATGGTAAAGCTGTCCTCTGAGAGCCTCTGCCAGAGTCTAAACAATACAGATGTGGGTGCAGCCAAACACAGGACTAAGCAGGGCCCACAATGGAGAAGTTAGGGCAAGAACTGAAGGAGTTGAAGGGATCTGCAACCCCATAGGAAGAAAAATAATATCAACCAACCTGAAACCCCAAGCTCCCAGGGACTAAATTATCAACGAAAATGTACATATTGAGGGATCCATGGGTCCAGCTGGATATGTAGCAGAGGATTGCCTTATTGGGCATCACTGAGAGGGGAGCTCCTTGGTCTTGTCAAGACTAGATGACCCAAGGTAGGGGAATGGTAGGATGCTGAAGCAGGAGTCTGTGGGAAGGTGGGGAGAACCCTTATAGAGGCAGGGGGTAGGGATAAGGGTGTTTATTGAGGGGAAACTGGGAAGGGGGATAACATTTGAAATGTCAATAAATAAAATAACCAATAAAAATGAAAAAAGAAATTTAAAAAACCCTAAAATCGATTTATCTTTAGTTTCTGAAGTATAAAGTATTTATCAGTTATGACAGATGCTTATATCATAAAAGGAATTTTCAAAATCCTAACTACATCCAGGTTTCGAATGGCAATATTCGAACTCTTGAAAATGAAAAATTGGAAGTGAAGTAACCTCAAAATAGAATTCAAGGAACAGAAAAATCTGATGGTTCCAAGCAGGATTTCATGTGAAGAATTGCTAACCTCCCATTGTTAACAAATATGAATCATATAGGAACCTATTTTGGATCTTTGACTGGAGACCTTAGTTCTATAAAGATGTGATGAGTAAGTGTGAAATTTAATGTGAAATTATGAGCAAGGAGAGGTAAGAAAATGAAAACTGATACTCACCATATTATTCAGGTTCTTATCACCACGAAATGACTTGCATCCCGCCAGACAAGGTGAAATGTAAGTCACTCCATTTTCCCCACAGACGGGTTCCCATTGATTTTTATCACAACTGCAGTCTGAGTTGCAATGAGAAAGTGGTACATCTATGTGAGAGTCCACTGGGTTCATTCTGGAGATATATGGTAGATAGACACACAGCAAAGAAAGACAGACATGGAGGTAGAAATTAGGATGGAATGAAGGGACGGGGAGGAAAGGGGAGAAGAGGGAAAAAAAGGGAAAAGAAGAAAAATCAGAAAACTTGGCTACTAGAGAGAACTGATTAGAGATCTCTGCATGTTACTGGTGTGAGAGCCTTGTGAAATTTCTAGCTACAGCTAGGAGATGATAAGGGGTCTGCTCAACCTTAGGAAGCTGAAGAGCAAGGAATCTTTCTGTTGTGTGGTAAGAATAGAAAAGGAAAAGTACATTACACCTGGGTTATTAGGATGTCTAATTACAACGGTGAGTAGCAGGGTCAGTTCACAGAGAATGAAAATCATGTTTGGAGTGAAGAACTGGCCTCTTGCACAGGTGTTTGTTTACATGAATGCTAGAAAAAGCTTGTTCAGCCATGACTAAGAAAGTTGCCTACACTCACAGCAGACTAAGAGATTTGGACACCAAAACTTCAATTTTAAGTCAGGACAGTCAGTGAGGTAATGTCCAGGCCTTGATGGTTATAAAAGCTGTATGTCTGTCCAGAGGGACAAAGGTATACACAACCTAGCTTCCACTGCACATTGTGAATACTCTGAAACTGACATGATCATCACCACCCAATTTTTCCTTAAAGGAGAAATAAAAACTGCTCTTGGGAGATCTTAAACAGTGATTTTTGGGGGGGGGGAATTTATAAATTGTGATCCTTTCTAACTGAACGTTTAGTAGAAACTGTTTTCAGCCTAGTGTTCTCTCACATAGGATTCTGATTGGAGTTAACACATCATTCATTCTGTTGATAAAATAATTATACAAACCCATCATAGGTCAAGGTTAGGCCAGCAAATGACTTGTTTTCACAGATTAGAGGAAAATACAACAGATTAAATGCATAGGCCACTGAGGAAGTGAAAAATGCAAACTTGGTGATTCCAGCCAGGGTCAATTTGAATTTTTTAATAATATATCCTCCTAAAAACATTCCAGTTGCCATAGTAGGTAAGGTTATAATTCCTGGAAATAAGAGAAAAACATTGTAATTAAGTAAGAAAGACTTCTCTGGTGTCTTTTCATATGAAATATGCTGTGTCTACATAAACCCTTCAATTCTGATGCTTCTAAACTAGAAATGAATGGCCGGAATGGAAATGGAAGACTATGCTCTATGTGGAAATGACAAAAATAATCTCTTATGAAAAAGAAATTCCTCTTTTTCTAGTAACAGATGTCAGACATTGCCTTTGAATAGATAAATTTTATGAGTGACATCTGTCCCCAGAAAATAATGACAATGTAACAACCATTCCAATCTAAAACCTTTTTTTAACATTTGGGATTATTTCATTTTTATTTATGTGTATGTATGTGTGTATCTGCATTGGTGGGGTGTATGTGGGTGCAGGTTTCCAGGGGACATCCTCTGAAGTACACCACCTGTCAGATCCAAAGGGATTTCTATTCGGCCAAGCTCCAAAGGTAATCCAAATAGACAGAAATAGTCTCAACCTAGATTATAGGAAGATTTCTGGTGATTAGATAAAAGCCTATATTTGTTAGAAACTTGCAGTTCCTCTCTACCAAAGGAACCATTTCCTTTATCACTGTCAGAAAGAACAAATGATGACCAGTTTGTCTATTAGCACACCAGAGCTCATGCTGGCCTCCTGGCTCCTTCTGCATCACAGGTAACTGTTCCATATTATCAAGTTCAAGCTTGCCTTAGCCTTTGTCACCTCCCCATAAACCCAACCTCACCTGTTGTTCTTCCTACATGTCCCTATTCCCCCTATCACCCTTCTATTTTGATATATTCTCACCCAACCCTTTGCTTCCTTTGTTTTCTTCTTCTTTTTTTAATGGTGACTCATTTCTCTCACTGTGTTTTCTCTATTCTTTATTCTCATCAATTTTTACCTCTCTCAAAGATAGCCCTGGCTTGATCCAGGCTGCTAGCTATATTGACCCTGCTTCTTTCTCTTTCTCCTCTGGATCCTTTAATGTGTGTCTGGTCATTCTGTCACTAATATCCACATTAAAAGCCTGTCTCTTAACCAAACCATGGAGCAGGCATGTCTTCAGTTTATACATCATCTGTGAAGCAAACACTAAACAATCTGTCTTACCTAACATAAAGTTGGCCTGGGATGCTGTCTGGCCGAACTGCTGCTCTATAAACTTGAACACGTAAGTAAAGGAGCCAATGAAGCTGCTGATTTGCAGAAATGTCAGTATCACGAATATAACATATATGTCGTTGGTAAGGATGATTTTCAGAGACTGTAGGAAGCCTTGAAATAAGAAGAGTGAAGAAAACATTGTAGTACAACTTAAAGTAGAAGATTAGGATGTTCCTTACATCCTAATTTTCTACTTATTATATGTATGAGTTTAAATTATATAAATACCTAGAACGGGCAGAGAGTGATTTGAAATCTTGCTATAAGTAGATTCATGAATATTTTTATTCAATTATTTCCATAATTACTTTGTGTATTTGGTCATTTGGGCTCATAACTATTTTTTTTCTTTTCTGTTTTGTTACTTGCTTTGTTCAGTGGATACTTGACAGTTCTTCCAAATCTTATTTTTCATACCTTTCAATCCATTTACCTGTTCACTCAGCAAATATTCAGTTTAAATCAGATACCAGGAAATATGCTGAAACTTGATACATGACTTCTATATGTGATGCTTTTCTATTTTTTAGCATTTAATAATGTGATTCTTATGTTAATTAAGCAGTTTGTTAATCAAATTTTTAAATAATTGATGACCACAGAATGAAGAACATTGATGATCAAAAATCATAAGCATGAATTTAATATGAGGATTTTTCTTAGAGTACAGCTTTTCTATAAAACACTGCCTCCAAAAAATATGTCAGCACTTAATCCATCTGCCTAAAGCATTGTTCCAGTAAATACAACTGAATTGAGTTACCTGCCTAAAATACTGCCCCAGTGAATACTGTGGCACTAAAGAAAAATACCTAAAACACTGCCTCACCAAACCTGGCAACACTGAAGCCAGGAAGCCGCTGAACACTGGAAGCCAGGAACACTGAAGCCACCTGCTTTAGGATAAAACACTAAAAAGCAAGTCACATTAACACAAGAACAGTAACAAATCATCTCTGCATTCCAAGTGTTGAGACTTGAGTTGTGTACACTATACCTGACTGGAAATTTCTTGAGATAAACATCAACAAGAAATTTTCTTGTCTATATGTGTTTGCATCCATGTATGTGGTTGTCCTTGGAGGTCAGAAAAGGGAATTGGATCCTCCAGACCTGGAGTTACAGAGAGTTATGAACCACCATGGAAGTTTCTGGAAGGTAAGTTAGGTCCTCTGCAAGGGCAGCAAGTGCTCTTATAATCACTGATCTATCTCTCCAGTGCCCTAACATGTTCTTTATAATGTCTATGTTAAGTTTCAAAACCTTGGTGTTCTAGAACCCTTTCCTAGTATGCAAAATGCTATGGGTTAAATCCCCATACCAAGAATAAAAACAAAACAATACCATGGTTTCTGGTATCTAAAAATTTATTGTTGAGGAACCAAGCAAACCCTGTTATTAGGCACTGCCCAGTTTCCACAGTAAAAAAGGAAACATTGATAAGTTATCATTTCATGGCCAAGATCAATATAATAACCTTGTTGAAAACTGAAATATCCTCAATTATAAATCAAAGAACATAGTTAGCTCCAGCACAGAAATGTCCTTGGGTTGGGATGGTCGAGTGAAGAAGGTAATCAAATGAAGAAATGAAAGAAGAGGAATGTCTTGGGCCACATTTGAGAACTTGTACTTTGATTCCAAAGTAAACCTGGAAAGGTTGTCAAAGGGTCATTGTTTTGTTGAAGTTACTTGTAGTGTTGATGTGACAAAGTACCTTGGCAAAATCAACTCAGGAAAGAAAGGATGTATTGTGGCTCTCAGTCTAAGGGCACACATCATCACTATTTGGAAGTCATAATAATGGCAGAGGTAGCTGGTCATACAGCATCCAGAGTCAAGAAGCAGAGAGGAATAAGTACTCAGCTTGATCTCTCTTTTTTAGTTAGTTAAAAAAAACACAGCAGATTGAATGGTGTTACCCACATTGGGTTGGGATCTTCCTTTTTCAGTTAACATAATGTCAACAATTTCTTACAGACATGCCCAAAGGCTTGCCTCCTGGGTGATTCTGGAGTCTATTAAATTGACAATAAACACAAACCGTCACAAATTATTGAACTGATTTAGTTTTTGGTGGTGGTGTTTTGAGACAGGTCTTACATTGGTCTCATAGTCCAGGCTAGCCTTCAACTCATGGTCCCCAGAACCATTGTAACTGTGATTAATTTGTTTTTTGCTATTTCATCAATTCATTCTGATGCCCCATTTCCATTGTAAATTAAACTCACAGATGAGAATTAAAATAAATAACTTTCATTATAACATTGCCATAAATATGTTTCAGTACACTTTGTTCTCATTTGCTCACTTCTTCACTGCTCCCCATTCCTCCTTACAATCTGAAAATTATTGTCAAAGCCTCACTGTCTTAATTAATTTTCTACACTTGTTGCTGAATCACGTTTTTGAACATAGCTTCTCTTTGGATCTACATTGACCCTCAGAAATTATATTTGAATTTAATAATACTACCAAACATGAAATGCTACTTAAATTAGGGCCACCAATTACTTTGACTACTATGAGTTTTCAGCTCACTTTTGAATGATTTCACAGGTAATTTTTTTACAGTTAACAGGAAAAAAAAAATCTTACCCTAAATTCCTAGAAACAAACCTTTCTGGGGATTTTTTTCTGTTTTATCCAGGTGTCCACCTAAAAATGGGAATTTTAACATGAGCTATGTATGCTTATCAGTAGCAAGGAACTCACTGGAATGAATCATAGCTTCGTGGAAAGACAAGCACCTCACAAAAGTTGGTTGGTGTCATTTGTAAATGAATGAATGAATTATTTTAACTCTTAAAACTAGTACTGATTTTCAATATTAAACTTTGAAATATGGAGGCTGTGTTTATAGTTCAATTGTAGAACATATAACCAGTATGTGCATAGCTCTGGACTACTTTGACCCCAATATCATCAAAAATATATTAAAATATTAAAATATTAAATATTTAAAATATTTGAAAAAAATACATTCCTTCTTTTTTACAATAAATATAATTTTATGTGATTTCCTTATTCCTCTTATTATTTGGTGGGTTTATGCATTATATATGAGTGCACATGAGGTGTATTTGTGTGTGTGTGCGTGTGTGTGTATGTGTGTAAACTTGCACAGAGTTGAGCATGACAGTTGTCTGGCAATTGCTCACAGTGTCCAAAGGAAGACAATGAGTGACAGTTCTCTATCACTCCCCACCTTATTCCTTTGAGGCAAAATTTTTCGCTGATCTAGAATGATCCTGGATCTTGGATGATGAACTAGGAGCCCAAGACATTCTCAGGCACATCAAGCCACATTTGCTCTTTACATGGATGCTGGTGATTCTATCTCAGGTCCTCATGTTTATACAGAAACTGTTTCCAAGCACTGAGCCATCTTCCTAGTCATATTTTCTCCATACTAAAAGCCACAAATCTAATCCTATTTTTTCTACACAATCATGGAACATAGTACCTGGAAAGAGAATGGCTTCTGTAGGCTCATGTTTGAATACTTGGCTTATAGTTGGTGGTCTTATTGAAACAGGTGTCACTGAGTGTAGACTTTCAGGTCTCCAAAGCTCAAGTCATTGCTGGTTAAGAATTCCACCCACCTTCTCTTTCTCTCTGCCTCATGCTTGTGGATCAAGATCTAAGTTCTCAGCAATGGCCCTACAAAATGTCTGACTGTCTGCTGCATTCCTCTTTGTCATCATGATTCATAGACTCTAACCCTTTCTAAATGTGAGTTGCCAAATGTAATGATTTCTTTTACAAGTTGCTTTGGTCATGGTGTCTCTACATGGAAATAGAAAAGTAACTAAGACAGGAAATATCACATTTAATAGGAAATGTAGAATGAGTTAAGACAAGTTTAGTACAGAAAAAGGCTAAATAGATAAGTTGGACATACTGTTTTGAAATATTCTCAAATTTCAGTGGGATTAACATCTGCATATTGACTGACTATGGAATCCTTACCAGTCATGTTGGCAGGAGCTTGTTTCTCTTGCTTTGTTAAATTAGTCATGTGATTCTTTTCTTCATCTGTTTTGAGTACATTAAGAGATGCTGAATATTTCATTTCCTTCTGTGATCTCTTCGGAATTTTGGGTAGGAAAAAGAAGGGTATGGAAGAAATAATGCATAATAGTCCATTCACAATGAAGCTGAGCCACCAGGCACCAACCCAACGAGCATCCTGAGGAGTTATTCGGATACTGCCTGGAATGAATAATTAGATCAGGACTTTCAAAAATCATCCTGAAAGTCAATGTTGGTAAGACTGCTGGCCTCCATAGATAAAGAAACCAAACTATAGTTTATACTTCCTAAAATACAAACTTTTTGCTGGTGGTTTGTCAACTTAGAAGTAGGGAATGAGTTAATCATTTGATGACATCTTACAAATTCCATTGCATTATATATATATTATATACAGCCATATATATTATATACCGACTCCATTGAAACTGCAGAATTATCAAAAGTATGTATTAAGCAAATAATAAGCTTAAATTTGTAGCTTTTAGTATGGAGAAAATAAGTTTAGGAAGGTGGCTCAGTGCCTAGAAAAAGTTTCCATAAAAGTACGTGCACTTGGGATAGAATCACCGACATCCACTTAAAGAGTGAGGTGTGGCTAGAAGTGCCTGAGAATTTTATTGGTCTCCTAGGTCATCAGATGTCAAGATGGCTTGAGAACCAAGGCAAGGCATGAACATTCACTATCATCTGAATATGGCTGTTGGTACACACTCTTGAGGTCAGGCTAGTATCAGAAGAAGGTTAACATTGTTTATAAAAATGGGAGTGCTCCAATCTGTCTCTTGTAGTTGCTGGATATACAGCCCTATTGATTGCAGACAATGGAAGTGCTGAGGAAGGAACATAGTGAATGTCTGAGTTTAAGAGAAACCCAGAAAAGATGGATTTCAACTTGAGGCATTTGTTGCCCTACTTATTTCAACTGTATTTCTTCGACATTGTGAATAGAAATGATATGTTAATGCCAGGTCTCAAAACACACTCCTGTGAATGATAAATAATAGTTCATAATCATTAAATGATGAGGAGCTTCCTAAAGATATCAGAACCTCTGAAAGCTGAATGATGAATTTTTGGAAACCCTGGACAGTCCTGTGGCTAAATAGGACACAGTAGCAAAAACACTGAGAAAAGCTTTTTCAGTAGATGGTTCACTGAAGTACTCGGCCTAGCACTCAAAAAAGACATAACTCCAATTCTTCACAAAATTTTCCTAAGTACTCATAAAAAGACACACCCAGACTCACTAAACATGGTAAATACTACCCTAGCACTGGCACTAGACATACAACAGTATTCTTTATAACAGATGTGATCTGACCTTTGTTTTGAAATTGTTAAATATAACATTACAGCAAAAATCATCTTCTATACTACCAAAGAGTTGTCTAGAGACAAAGTTATGAAAATTGTCTTACTTTTAGTGCAGCAGGGGTGAACTAAGGATGCAAAACGTCAAATTTATTTTAGTCATTACTGAATAAGATAAGATGCAAAAAGGTCTGAATATCCACTTTTAGCCATCTAATTCCCATGAATTCTAATACAATACAGATAATTATTTCTAAATATAGCAGTACAATTTCCAACTACAACAAAACATCTACCTCAGCTCTGTATGAGTTTTGAAAGCAAGGGTGAACTTGGAAGTGAATAAGAGAGGGTTTGATTAAGGATTTGTACTGGAAATGGTTTGAAGCATGCACTTTTACATGGCCAACTCTGATCTCAACTCTATTTTGGAAACAACTTTGAAGTCATTGAGTCCTGATGAGATAGAAAATCAGAATTTTTTATACACCAACTACTTATATATTGAAACAGATTTCCTCCTATGGCATCTAAAGAGATCATCATGCATTTGCTGTCCTCTGCTCCAGCAGGGAGTCAGTGAAGTGTGGCATCTCAGAAGAAAAGAACATGTTGGATGAGAGTCTCAGAATGATGTTAATGGAAAGGGGAAGAGAACTCTTCACTAGAAGTTCAGGACTGTGAAATGAAAGGATCTTTTGAGAGTCACACCACCAATAGTCATGCTTACTGCAGAGAGTATCAATGACAGAAACATGGGAGAGAGGATAGGGAGTCAAATTATAAAGATATAGGTGATCACAGAAAACCATGTATCTACTTCTGAAGAGCCTGGCTGCCACACTGAACTCTGGTCTGAAATCAATGTAAGTTTGTAAGCATTAGTAAGATTTCTGTATTAAAAATATTCTGGAAGCATTATGGAGGGGCTGTTGTCAGATTATGTGGAAGAAAGGTTATATAATGATTAAGTCAATTATACAATTAACGTTAAGATATTCATCAAGGAAAGACTATAGAAAACAACACAAGTTTTTAGAGTGATACTGCGGGTCCTGCTTTTCCCATGTTGAGGGCCAAGGGTTCATTTCTAAAAATAAAAAAAGTGAAAAACTAGTTTTGAAAAAGTTACCTGACTCTGTTTTATGAGCCACTGAAAACAGATGACCTCTGAGAAGTGGATTGGAGGGGGCAAATGAAATGTCTTCTAAATTCAGATTTTTCTTTCAAGATAATTGTTTATGAAGAGAAGTACAAAAAGAAAACCAGCTACAAAGTGGTCTAAGGACATGAAGATATCATATGTGCAAAAAGAATGAAGAGACTGGAGAGTGCTTTGTGATAATGAGAGGCTAGAGAAGGAGATTCTCCAGGGAGGGATCTGGTGAAAGATTGACAGAAAGAGGATTGGAAGATGCAAGTTGAAGTCCTGACATTTAAGATAGGTCTAAAAGCATGAGTTTAAGCTGGATATTATTTGTACAGAATTGGGGTTGAAGGAGATGAGAGATGTGATATTTATACAAAGGAGGGCTTGAAGATAAGAGAGTTTCCATACTTTGGCCCGTTTTTCTGAAGTATGAAGGAATGCTTGCTTTGAGGGAAGAGAATGGTCAGAAGGATCAACTGGTATGCATCCTTTCATCTTCTAATTAAAGGGGACCATATGCCAAGCCCTCTGTTAGATCCAGGTAAAGCATCAAAACTAAGACACATGATGAAGATGCTCAACTATTCCAACCTTCCTCCAATAGAACAACCACACAGCATCTACCAGAAGCTTAATTCTGGCATTTCTAAACCCAATCTACCACCAAGTGGAAGTGCAGATGATTCAGCTCCAAAATCAGTTTGTTTTCTATCTGTTCATCTAAATTAAGATTGTCCCCAGTGCTGCATTTTATAATTACTGGTAGAAGCTTGACATAAGCAAGACATGAAATATGTTTTGTTAAAATAAGGAACACATTAATACCACTTAAAATTTATAAAAGGAAATAATTATGCAACTATTGAAAGAATTAAACCAGTAACCTGAAGGCACGGTAGTTGGAATTTGAATGACAGCCTTCTGATGTCTTTTTCTAATTCTACTTACTCAGGTCTACATATCCAATGTCTACATATAGTTTAGCAAACATTGATGACATGATGAAGCCAAGGATTGGTCCAATCATTGCTATAGTATGCAGAGTACCTGCAAATATTCAAAATCATTCAATCAGAATCATAGTGCACATAGTTATTTTTTTCTTTACACAACAAATTTAAATTATATTCCCCTGGTCCCAGATGCATTCATTCTTTCATACCAAACCAAGTTTTTACCTTCTTTTTGTAATTCTCATGAATTATAGTTTTATTCTCTTGTGTATGGCTGTCAACACTGCATAATCAACCCATCAGATGATACACTGTTAGAAAAACCTTAATGTCCTTCTTCCAATATCTATCAATTGCTAACTGCTCCTAGTTAAGGGACTTTGTACCTACCTCCCATTTACATGCTAAGATTTCATCCACCTTGGATCTGTAAATGTATGATATATATATAGTAGGTTTTACAATGTAATGTTACACAATGAATTTCTTGAAATGATATTTTTGTAGTAATCTTAATTTACTTAGGGAGCTGGAGAGATATCTCAGTGGTTAGGAGCAGCACTAGTTGTTCTTCTGGCCAATTCAGGCACTGTATACATTAGGGACACAGTCATAAATGCAGGAAACACATCCATATACACAAAATATAAACAAGTATAAAAATGTAAATGTTTACCAGTGCTATCATTTCAAATTTAGATCCAGAACATTTAAGCACTAAACATAATATTCTCTGTACTTTACCTAAGTACATAGAAGAATGTCCTTCTTTTGCAAAGTCATCAATGTAAGAAACTCCCAGAGGTACTATTGGTGTTTCCCCTATCCCACGAAGCATGTTCCCGATCAAGACATAAATCCACATATATGACCTGGACCCCTTTACACAACCTGTGTAGACAAAAACATGTTTTTACTTTAAATGTCTCTTACAGTATTGATATGAGCAATTCCACAAAAATTAAATATTCATTTTTTTATATATCAGCTTGACTGCCAGCATGGTGCTAAGATAATATCCCTGTTTATTTCCTTTGTTTTAATATATACACATATGAATATTTTGCCTACTTGTGTATATGTACCACATGCATGCATGTAATACTGGCAGAGACAATAAGAAGGTGTTGGATCCCCTGGAACTGGAATTATACTTGGTTGTGACATATCATGTGATAGCTGGGGATTGAACCAGTGCTCTTAACTGCCTAGCCATTTTTCTGGACCTTAATTTTATATTTATAATTGTAAAATACTTTAAATTTTTCCGTCTGTCACAAAGAGGTGTCTTGGTTATAATTACAAATATATTTTTACTGATTATTTCCTTGGGGTTGATTAATAACAATAGGATTACAAAGAATTAGTAATTTTTTTGTTTAATAAATGTTAAAAGAATAACTTCCAGAAACAGTAATACATTTGTCCAATCCCAATAATACAAAAAAGAAAAAGAATTAACTTCTTATTTTTTTCATTGTAATCTTCCCATATCTGATACAATAGTAGAATAATCTAGAGTGTTAAACCTGTATTTTCTTATTAATATATTTTTAAATTTTCAATTGCAGTAATTATTTTTATTTTCAAAATACCTCTCCTTTGTTTATACAATGCATTGTTGCTTGCTTAAATTGTCTGTTGACACAGGTGCATACTACAAGGCTCATTCTGCTTCAAACCCTTTGTGCTGGGATTTCAGATATGTACACAGTCAATTGTTATACCTTTATTTTACCTGCAAATGTTCTTCCCAAATTCTAACTGAAATAGTCCTTAGCTCCTCTTCAGCTATTCTATATCAGTCTATATCAGAATATAGCTATCCTATATTCAGTCTAATTCTATATCATGTTTATACTATGATTATGTCTCTATTTCAAGGTCAAATGAATCATTATTTTAAATCAAATTTTGCTGATACATTTTACAAAAATATTGAATATATTATTTACAAACTTTCAAATATTAGTCAATGTTACTATTAATTCTTACCTTTCTCCACTATCTCAGGTGTGGTTCCATTGAGTGATGTCTTTTGATTGATTAAACAGGTCAACGTGGAGTTGCCTAGAGAGTCAATGGCATTTTCTGTTGCATACCTGTAACTATAATGATGTCACTACACTTAACATTTTGCTTATATACCAAGCATATTCACTTTCTTCAGAAACTATTGATTGTATCTTTATCTACTCCACGTCAGTGAGAAACCCCTGATAATTTTCAAGCCTCAATTTTAGGACAAATTATAGGTAACAGTAAAATGGGGAAAAGGCCCACTATGTAAGGTCATTCATTGTTACTCAAGTAAGGTGGCTGACCACCTTAATGGGACAGATGATCCCATTAAAATGATCATAAGATGATCTCTGTTTATGATGGGAAAAAATCCTAGCTTCCACTTTCTATTTTGTAAACTGCTATCTGAGTGTAATCATTCCCATTTATTTATTTTTTAAGATGACAGTAATATAAACTTCTTGATGAGTTATATTTAATAAGCTAGAGAAATGTGTTTTCAAATCAGTCTTAAAGACATGCTAATTCTTCTACCTTTTCTACCAAAACATCTGAATTTTTTATGGATAGATATGCACACATGAACTAATGTCTGACTCTCTGAAACTTTAATAAATTCTAATCACTTCAGCTTGAGCAAGGAGAATTTAATAGCAACAAAGGCAATGGAATCAGAATGGGGACATATACAGTAACCTGAAAAATACTACTATACCTGTACTTTATGCTGGACCACCAAGTGTATACCAAGCACTCTATATTACTTCAAAACTGAAACAAAATGCACAGGTTTTTGTCCATAGGGACTTTCATTCCTTTTAAGAAATAATAGATCATTAGCTTTGCTCAAAGGTTGCGAATGGATGGATATTATAGAATTTGCATTGTATAGAAACTGTGACATTAATGTTAGTCATTAGCAAGACTTTGAGATAGACTCCAGAGGACAGTAGACAAGGCTGTAGGGCCAGTACATATAAATGTAAAACATTTTCAGATGTAGAAGACTGCAGCTTCATCAATTGCTTGTCAACTGTGGGAAAGAATGGAAAGTGAGTCTAGGACAGTCAAAGTCCCAGTCAGTGAGCAACAGACATGCACAAATGAGATGACATATGATTAACCCACAGGCAAGACCTCTCATATTTTGATTGTGACTTATATTAATTATATTATCAATTTTGTATCTCTGCCACAGTATCTATGCCTGCTCACAAGTATATTTATAGCTCGAATGATTTAATTGCAGGATAATATTTTCCTACATATATTTTATATTACTAAACTCTATCTTATAGTATAGGGTGGTCCCAATATCCTCAAAGGGTTTTCTGGTCTGCTGATAAACTGGAATCTGAAGTTTCAAAGCCTGTACTAGAGAACTAAAAGTTTTAACCAAAATTAAGAAAATGAGATTTACATTTAAAAGTATATTCTTGTATTGGATATTAATTAGACTACAGCTGAGAAGCTAGAGAGATGGCTCAACAGTAGGGAGCTTTGGTTGTCCTTCCTGAGGATCTCAGTTCAATTCCTAGCAACTCTCAGGAGAATCACTAACTCTAACTCCAATCCTATTGGATCTAATGCTTTGTTCTGGTATTCACAGGGTCTGCCTCCATGTGTGCACATAAATACACACGAACAAAACACTCATACTAATAGAATAAGAAACAAATCCTTGAAAAACTAATAGAATTAAAACTGAAAGCAAAACCTCCATTTTTGGCTTCAGCTTGGATAAAGGCATGGATTTATACATTGACAAAAGAATGTCGAAAAAGTAAGATCTTTGGGAGTGCTGGTTTTTTAGTGCTGCAGTAAATCAATAGCTTAGGTTGATGCCCTTGACTTTGGTCTGAATTCCTTTACAGTTGTAAGAACCACTGCTGAATGAATGGATACGAAAATGAAAGGATGTTGGCAAATATAGTGAGTTCAGGTTGTGGTACATGAATAGGAAAACCTTGTGAATGCCCATTAGAAATGTAAACATGATGCATGGAGACATATATCTTGAGTGTTTAAAACAGTCAACTGATATGAACTATGGCTGAATTTGAAGCATATGTTTCATATGAATCAATACAGGAATTAGACTGAAGGTAAAGATAGAGAGATGCAGGCATTTTGGCACTAGCCGTGACAGTAATGTCTCGGTATGATGAAGAGGCCACACAGAGAGAAATAAATTGAAAGAGCATAAAATTATGAAAATCAAGATGGGGAAAATTCTTTCAAAAGTCAATTTTAAGAAGAATACAATGTTAATACGATGACAAGTGTGAATGTCAAGTGTGACAAAGGTTAAATATTTGTGTGTGAGAGTGTATGTGTTCATATGTGCGTATGAAACTGGTCCTGGCATCTCAGTACCCACTGTTCTATCTTTAGTCCCATTCAGAGCCAAGAACTCTGTCTTGTCTTAGTACACAGTCAAGCCAGGTATAATCCCTGCATGAATAGTGTGGACCATCTTCAGGCCCCGCCACTACTGGGGTCCTAGCTACAGTTGATAACTTCTGGGGAAGAGATAATTATTCTACTTTGAGGTTTGGCTAGCCAATACTTACTATCCCATGAAGAAATGTGGCAACGCAGTCAGAATACTCCCAATGCCCATGATGAAACAACCAGTTCCAATCAGCTTTGGTCTGTGTAGTTTGGATCCAAAGTAACTCACAAATACAATAACTAATAAATTCCCTATAAAAAACAAATTATGTCAATTTAATTCATGATTTCAAATAATGATTGTCAATGTGTATAAATACCAAAACACTTGGTACTTTTCTCAGGTTGACTGACAAGGGGAAACTCACCTTAATTGAATTGACCATAGAAAAATATGGTATTAAGTATAATTAGGGGCTGGAGAGATGGCTCAGAGGTTAAGAGAAGTGACTGCTCTTCCATAGGTCCTGAGTTCAATTCCCAGCAACCACATGGTGGCTCACAACCATCTGTAAAGGGATCTGATATGCTCTTCTAGTGTTTGTTTGAAGACAGCTGCAGTGTACTCATATAAATAAAAAAAAAATATATCTTTAAAACAAAATAAGCAAAAGGTAGTCAGGCATGGTGGCACATACCTCTAATCTCAGCCCACTGTAGGCAGAGACAGGTGGATTTCCATCTGTTTGAGGTGAGCCTGGTCTACAAAGCAAGTCCAGAACAGCTGGGGCTATCACATAGGGAAACCCTGTCTCACAAAACCAAAAACCAAAACCAAAACCAAAACCACGTAGAACTATTCCTTTTTTGTTTTATATGTTATTGCAGGTTTATTGATTTTCTTTTTAAACTTATGTGATTGTATGAACATATGAGTGCATTAGACACAGAGGCCAAAAGAGACAGTAGGATCCTTTGGATGTGGAGTTACAGGTGATTGTGGTCCACCAGACATTGATGCTGGAAATCAAACTTAGGTCCTCATGAACAGCAGTAAGCAGACTTAACCATTGGGAGATTTTTCCAGTTCCTTGTTTTGTTGATAGTATCAACTTTTATTGTAGAACCAACCTCAGCAGCCATCAATATCTATGTCACTTTAAACTAGACATACCATATTTCCCCTTATCTGTACCTAATCTCACAGAGAGCATTAGGTTCTGGGTTGCAAAAAAAGTATTAATTTTTGCACTAGTCTATGGAATATGTTTTTGAGATAATTGTTTGACAATATGGTTGAAGCAGATTTTGTTTTCAGAAATTTCACATTGTCTAGAGTGTACTAAGATGAGAAAAGTAGAGAAAACACTTCCTAATAGTAATCAAAGGCATTAATTAATTAATGCAGTTTTCATAGATTCCTGTCTTTCTTTAAACCTGTAATATGTACCTGCTATGGTATTCCCTGCCAAAAATATTATAAAAGAACAAACCACAAACTAAGGTGTAAACAAATGATAAAACAAATTAGGGATAAGAACAGGTAGGTGCCAGAGATGCTATCAGACCTCAGGGAAAATCAATTAATTAGGAGCTTTGGTAGATTTTCCACAATGAACTACTACATAAAATGTCATGTTGATTTTAAATTATCCAGGGAAATGGAAAACTTCAAATAGGGGAGTAAATTCTCATCTCTTAAACAACAAATAGAGAGTTACAAAGAATTACTGAGTATTAAAAAAGTGATATTACGTGAAATTACAAATGAGGACTAGCCAAAAATATAGGAAGTAACAGTTAAAGAAGAAATAACTGGAAAGAGGAGTGATTGGGGGGGGGGTGTCCTTAAATGTGAAACATAAAAAAATGGCAGAAAGAAATGAAGATGTGAAAACCAAAATGAAAGCAACAGAGTAACATCTACATCCTCCAGTGAGGTAAAAAACAGAGATTCAACACAGATCTTTTAAAAATCGCTTCTTTACTCCTTAAATCAAAGGCAATATAGATCCTCAACTTTTCTTTATATCTGGTCTTGAGAGAGGAAAGGGTAAGTCTCCCAAGAGTTAGTTTGAAAGTAATGTGTCAAAAAAGAGAGAGAGAGAAAAAAAAAAGAAAGTAATGTGTCTGTGTAAAACCAATCCTTCCAAATCCACTTTGCAGAGGGGTTGGTCATCACTTTGTAGAGTATTCAGTAATATCACTGATTTTAACTTCTAGGCATGAGCGGCACTGCTTTCCAAGACATGACAATAAAAACGATATTGCTGTATTTTTTCAGAAAGGACAGTTCTCTCTGGTTGAGGAGCATGGGCATATTGTATTACTGGACTCCATTTTCCCTCTGTAAGTCTGGTGGTTATATAGAAATAAACATTACCAATTTCAAAGCCTCCATCAATCAAACCAGAAATGGAAGATGGTATGTCAAATCTTCTTTCTATCTGAGTGATGGAACTTTTCATAGTGACTCCACCTAGTCCTTTGCATATGTAGCTGAATGAGAGGGCTGCCAAAAATATCTAAGAAAAAGCAGAAAGAGGAGGAAGAGGAACATTAACCAACAAAGTATATATACTATTTATAGAATTCAATTGCATTTCTACATGATACTATTTTGGGGGATTTTTATTGTTATTGTTGTTGTTTTTAATTAAAGTCTTTCCTTTGTAGCAGTTGATATTACCTTACCTCTTAATGTTCTGGTTATACAGATAAAGTATAACTTTCTAATTGGTTAATCATTAAAGCAGTAAGTTTATACAATTAGATTATAAACTTATTTCTAAGTGGATAATCCCAGTTAGCCATCACTTGAGCTTATGTTTTGTTTAAACAGAAGCCAAATCTAGGGATTGGCAGGATGTTTTCAAAGGCAATGATTTTGAAAACCCAGATGAAAGGTGAAATCTGAGAAGTTAATGGTGGTCCCATACAAAATACAAATGACTGATACTTGATCTATGTTCTTTTTGGTCTTTGGTACATGAAGAGACACTATGCCTGATATAACTTATAAAGAAGATTTAATTGGGGCACTGTTTATAGTTTTAGAGGGTTAGTTCATCACCATTATGGTGGGATGCCTGGTCTCAGTCAAATAGGTACAGTACTGGAACTGTACCTGACAGTGTATATGTTGATACAACCAGGAGGTCTAAAAATCAATAGAAAGAAAGAGAGAGAGAGAGAGAGAGAGAGAGAGAGAGAGAGAGAGAGAGGAGGAAAGAAAGAAAGAAAGAAAGAAAGAAAGAAAGAAAGAAAGAAAGAAAGAAAGAAAGAA